AAAATTAGGCTCACGCTCATTCGTTTCGGGGGGCGGCCGAAACGGGCCCCCCAACAACAGCAACGCTGCAGCTCGATATTTCTTCATTTTTAGAGCTGGTACCCTTGCTCGCCGCCGAAAGCCAACATTCCAACAAACCTGGCGCTCCCGCTACCCAACCATCCTGTGGTGCTGGGTCCTCGCTTTGACGAGGCAGTCGCCGCGTTCCGCCCTTTCTCCTCCTCCTGCTCCTCCTCCCCCTCCTCCCTCCTTCCGTCACCCTCCTCACTTCGGCACACTCCTCGCACGTTTCGTGGCCCTATGAAGAGCTCGACCTAAGGCCCCAGTGACATGGTTCGCATGCCGCTCCCCCGTGCAATTTGGCACAGCCCTCACACGGTTCGTGGCCCCATAGAGAGTTCCACCGAAGCCCTAGTGGCATGATCGTGGCGCTTTTAGGAGATCCACCGCAGGTCCCATTGGCGGTGTTCGCATGCGTTTCCCCTACCCAGCACAGCGTTTCGTGGCCCCACAGGGAGCTCCACCGAAGACCCCAGTGGCGGTGTTCGCATGCGTTTCCCCTACCCAGTTTTGCGCTGCGTGGCCCCATAGGGAGCTCCACAGAAAACCCCAGTGGCGGTGTTCGCATGCGTTTCCCCCACCCAGAGCAACGGTTCGTGGCTCCATAGGGAGCTCCACTGAAGGCCCCAGTGGCGGTGTTCGCATGCGTTTTCCCCACCCAGTACAGCGTTTCGTGGCCCCATGGGGAGCTCCACCGAAGGCCACAGTGGCGGTTGCTGCGCCCGCCCCGCCCCATTTCGGCACACCCTTTACACGTTTCGTGGTCACATACAGAGATCCACCGAAGGAGATACTCACAACGGCGACGTTCACAACGGCATCCGCCTGGGCGCTTCGCTAGGACAATTCACCCAGGAGCGGCGCGCTCGCCTCGGCGCCGCAGACTGCCCGCCCTGCAAACAATGACGCTCCCGCTCTTAACAGCCTCCGCTCTTATTGATGGGCCCATTTTCCACCACCACTACCATAGGTAGAAGAGGGAGGAGGAGGAGGAGGAGGAGGAGGAGGAGGAGGAGGAGGAGGAGGAGGAGGAGGAGGAGGAGTAGGAGGAGGAGGATGAAGGAGGAGGAGGAGGAGGAGGAGGACCTCCTCGTCCTCCCTTCTCCCCCGTCCTACATATGGTAGTGGTGGTAGAAAATCTGCTCACCACTTATTCAAGATTCCCAAAGGCCTTCAGGCCCACGTTCAGGCGTTTCGGGGCTCCCGTGGGGCTCCGCTGCTGCCCCCCCCTGGGGCGCACTGGCGCTCTCGCCTCGGCGCGCGGGGGCCCGCGGCGGCGACACCGTCGTCGTCGTCGTCGTCGTCGTCGTCGTCGTCGTCGTCGTCGTCGTCGTCGTCGTCGTCGTCGTCGTCGTCGTCCTCGTCCTCGTCCTCGTCGTCGTCTTCTCCCCCTTCCTTTCCCCTCTGCCTCCTCTCGTCGTCGTCGTCGTCCTCCTCCTCCTCCTCCTCCTCCTCCTCTTCCTTATTATTCTCCTCCTCCTCCTCCTCCTTCTCCTCCTCCTCCTCCTCCCCCTTCCCCCTTGTCTTCCCTCGTGTTTCCTCTTCTTCCTCCCCTCCCCGAGGCCCTGACGCTCATCCGATCCAGGTCTCTCTCAAACATGCCCTGAGGCCTTCTTCAAGAGGCCCCGGAGCCCTCCAGCTCAGCTTTGAAGCGTCTCTCAGGGGCCTTCAGGTTTCTCACAGTGGCTCTGAAGCCTCTCTGAGAGGCTCTGGGGGCTTTTCATGGAGCTGTGGAGCCTCTCTACGGGGCTCTGGGAGCTGTGGAGCCTCTGTACGGGGCTCTGGGGACTCTCCCAGAGGTTGTGGGGTCTCTCCCAGCGGCTTTAGACCACCCAGGCATAAGTGCCTCGGAAGAGGTGCTGTTAAGACTTCCTCGGGCGGGAGGTTTTGGTAAGGGAGTACCGAACCCCCTGTAGAAGAAAATCCTATATGAGGGGGGGGTCGTGAACGCAACAGCTGGGGCCTTCTGGTGAGCTCCTTATGGGGCCACGATCCTCGTGAGGGGTGCGCCTGGGCGCAGCCGCTGGGGCGTGTCGGATCTGCATCGGATCCGTCACAGGCCGTGTCGGATTTGTGTCGGATCCGATACGAGGCGTGTCGGATCTGTCAAGCATCCTGCACAGGCCGTGTCCGCTCCGTATCGGATCTTAGACAGACCATTCTGGATTTGTAAAGGATCCTATACAGGCCGTGTCGGATCTGTAGAGGATCTTCCAGATGTTGTATCGGATTTGTTCGGGATCCTCTACAGGCCGTCTCGGATTTGTATAGTATCTTATACAGGCCGTATCAGGTCTGAGAAGGAACCTATATATATATATATTATTTATATATATATATATATATAATATATATATATATATATTATATATATATATATTATATATATATATAGGGCGTGCCGGCATTGTATAGGACCCCCACGAAGCCGTTTCGGATTTGTACACGATTCTATACACGTCATATCGGGTTTGTATAGGATCCTATACGGGCCATATCCGATATGTAGAGGGTCCGACATAGGCCGTATCGCTCCTGTAGAGGATTGTATGAAGGCCGAGCCGTATTTATTTGTAGAATATCCTATAGAAGGCACATCGGATGTGTATTAAGTCCGAAGCAGGCCGCATCGGCTATATTTGATACGATCCTACACATGCCGTGTAGGATTTCTTTACGATCCTATGCAGGCCGTGTCGGATCTGAATATGATCCTCCGCAGGCCATATCGGATATGTTCAGGATCCTCAGCAGGCCGCGTCGGATGCGTATAGGATCCTCTGCAGGCCGTATCGGATGGGTATAAGGTCTTGTACAGGCCGTATCGGATCTGTAGAGGATCTTGTACTGGCCGTATCGGATCTGTATCGGATTTGTATAGGATCCTGTACAGGCTGTATCGGGTCTGTATAGGACTTGAGGCCGTATTGGCTTTGTATAGGGTTTTTCACAGGTCGTATCGGATCTCTAAAACATCTGAGATAGGTCGTACCGGCTCTGTATAGAGTCTTGTACAAACCGTGCCGATTTTGGAACCTTTAATATGATTGCAGTTGAGCTGGATCCAGCCTTCCGTAGGATTTTGTTAGTTCTGGATCGGGTTGAATCTGATTTTATGTGAGCTGGATCCAGCTCTAATGGGATTTTACCAGAGCTGTGTTCAGGCCCACTAGACAGTCTGTTAGAGCCATCAGATTCTGGAGGCTCCTGAAATTCTTGTAAGGATGTCCAGTTGGAATCCATAAAACAGACACAAAGCTAGCATTTTTTCAAGAGTAGCTGGAGGGTTGCGTTGCGTTGCGTTGCGCGGGGGGGAGACGGGGCCCCAGTCTTGGTGTTCACCCTATTCGACAACACGTGGACAGGGGCCGCACAGCACCGGAGGTGCATGGTGCCCCAGTCTGGGTCTCATCCTTGATGTTGTCGTTGCTGAGCATTCACTTTTGAAAAGTGATTATTGTTGACCCTCCCTGCCCGGCGTACTCAATTGAAGTGCCCCTCCAGGGCTCGTGCCCTGTTTTAAAACATAGAAGGTCTTGAGGGTCAATTTTGCCCCCTGGCCCCCAGACTAAAACAACAACGGCTCCCGCCTGATACTTCCTCACCCTGTACTCCAAAATCGCGCTCTTGCGCGATTTTGGAGTACAGGGTGATGAAAAAAAAAAACTCCAAAGTCGCGCTCTCGAGTGGGACTTCCTGACAATCGCGCTCTCGCGTGGTTCTTCCTCGTAGTTTACAACTGCGGCGCCGTGCCCACAACACTCAGGAGTCACGCTCTCGCTTAGGATTTCTTCACGAGTCATTTGGGCATCGCGCTATCGCTCGAAAGTTCTTTGCGAATCATGTTGGATTCACGCTTCAGCGACCCGCCCACTCGACCCAGCTGTCTGGATCCGCCCGCCCGACCTGCCCGTTAGGGTCCGCCCACTCGTCCTTCCCGTCTGTTTCTGCCGCCCATTCTTGCTCCTGACCCCCCTCCTGCAAGTCTCTCTCGTGCTCCATCCTTCTCCCACCCGGTGTCTCTTCCCTCCTCCCTTCCTTCCCCTACTCTAGCGGCTGCGCCACCTACACGCCGCAGGTAAGCAAGATCTACCCCCAAGGGAGGTACGATCGAAGACGAAGATGGCGGGTATCGAGGGTTTAGGATATACGTGCTGAATGGCATGTGAGCAGACAAGAGCGAATAGTCTTAAAATGACTGGTGTTGTTGTCGTCGTCTTCGCGCGCGACCCGCCCGCGACGCACCCGCGACCCACCCCTCGACCCACTCCGCGACCCATCCCTCGACCCACCCCGCGATCCACCCCGTGCCCACCCCCGTAGTCTTATCGGCAACTGCGGGCTGCTAAGTATAAAGATGCCTTGCGTTCCTTCGACGCTGTGGCACTGATGCCGAGATGAGAATTAGGACAAAGCACCCACCAACCAGCCCAAACCAACCAACAACTTACCATGGAGTTTCACCCCCCCAATTGGTGGGTTTTCAGGGCCGCTCGTCGAGCTGCTCTCTCTAGCCGATCGAGGACGAGGTCTGCGGCCAAGTCGCTCTCGATTGTCGATCGAGGATCGATCCTCGAGCACCTGGCAAATGCCCTCGATCCTTGATCGAGGCTCGATCCTCGATCCTCGAGCACCCGGAAGCCCTCCCAGAGCGGGCCCGCGGGCCCGCAGCGACGACGACGACGACGACCACAGCTACCATGACGACCACGACGACCACGACGACCACGACCACGACGACCACGACCACGGCCACGACCACGACCACGACCACGGGGGGGGGGGCAGGAAAACAGGGCCCGTTCCGATCCGATCCGATTCGACCTCGGTTCTGGCCAGCCCGATCCGATTCGGTGCCGATGTTCCGGCGGCCCGCTGCCCGCATGGCGCTGTTCTGCGTCCTGCCGCGGCCTGGGGCGGGGCCCGGGGGGGCCCCCGAGGAGGCCGTGGGCACCGCCCTGGCGCCCGGGGACGCCGAGCGCGTGCGGGCAGCCTGCCAGGAGCGCCACGGCCCGGTCGCGCCGCTCCTTCTCCTCGTCGTCCTCGTCGTCGTCGTCCTCCTCCTCTTCCTTCTCCCCCTCCTCCTCTTCCTCCTCCTCTTCCTCCTCCTCCTCGTCTTTGCACCCCTCCTCCTCCTCCTCCTCCTCCTCCTCCTCCTCCTCCTTTCTCCCCCTCCTCCTCCTCCTCCTCCTGCCCCTTGGCCTCCTCGTCTCTGTCCTCCTCGTCCTTCACCTCCACTTGCCCCTCTTCCTCCTCGGCCTTCCCCTCACTCAAATGGGTGCTCTGCCACCATTTGGCTTCAGCGCCGGCGCGTACGTAGTTCTACATCTTATTGCCCGCAGTTCTACATTTTATTGCCGTCATGCTTTCTCTCGTGAGGCTTCCAGAACTCCGCACTTTTAGTTTGTAGCGGAGCTGGGAACGATCCCGGCTCGCGATCCACGGAATGCGCGCAGAGTGCGATGTGGACGCGCGTTTGCTCTTTCCCTTCTCCTCCGCATTGGTACCACCTTCCAATCCCTGTACAGCTTGTGCTTATGACTGTTCTGCAAGTCCTCGGACAGTTTACCTTGGACGCTCACGGACAAACAATTTCTTTCGAATCGCTGCGAAGAATTGGCTGCGAAGGCATTGGCGGCTGCAGGCTACGTGGTGTCAGTGTGGAGCTTTTGCCCACGGGAGCGCCACATGTGTGCGACAGTGATGGCCGTCATTGCGGGCACGGCGCGCCACTCGAGTGGAGCACTGAGTATTAACGCGCCATTCTAGTCTCGCTTGGTTCCACCAGAGTTGTCAGAACTACGACGGCTGCCTCGAGCTTTGGGATGGCGTCGTCCCTGCGCATGCTCGAGCCCCAAGGCGCCACCGCAGGTTTCATCGTGGTGGAGTCTCATCGTGGAGGATTTTCATCTTGATGCTCTGGGGCAACATCTTCAGGTTCTTCGTGATCGCCACTATCTGGCTCATCAGCACGATGCCTGGTGGAGCCGACCCACGGGGCGGCGGAGGCGGCTGTGGCGGGATCACTCCCCGCCAGCCGCCCGCATGATCACCCGATCGCGAATCAGCGTGTGCAGTTCGCCATTCGGTGCAGTTGTTCGTGGGGGGCGTGCTCGCCACGGACACGGACAGCGCGCGGCAGTGCGCTGCCACCGTCCCCGAGCTTGGCGGAGCCGCTCGCGAGCTCGCGTGCTCCATGAACTTCGTGGAGTTGACGGAGGGAGGCATGGCGAACGGCCGGGACGAATCTGATTGTGAATCTCATTATTTATTTCGATTTATGGGGTGAGGAGTTACGCCTCCAGGCCTCCCGCGAATTCTTCGAGTTGTCGAGACGCCGCAGTGAGGCCGCCGATGTGCTGCTTTCGCGGTTTCTCATGCTGCAATTCCGAGCAACGCATAACGGCGGAGATGCGATATCTTGGGGGTGCTGCAGCTGGTTGCTCCTCCGAGCCGCCGGCGTCGCAGCTAGCCATTCAATGGCGCTGCTCCAGCCCTGTGGAAATCGAAATTCAGCCACGGAGCTTGAGTTCAAGAGTTTCACGACGATGCTCAGGCGCGTGGGTCACAGCGTGGAGCATGCACAAAACGACATCTCCAGAGCTCTTCGTTCGCCGCCTTCGTTCGGGGGGCTTCGTGGGCATGGCCAATGAGAATCGTAGCGACACGCCCGCAACGGACCCTCGGCACACTCGAGGCCCCGACCCCTGGACAGCTAGCGCCGCGGAGCTCCCTGGTGTTGGGGGCGCCACGGCGCACGCCGCGGGCCCGTCGCAGATCGCCGGGCCGCCACGCGCAGCGTGCCCAGTCGCCGCGTGGGCGCCCGTGGGCGGGGCCGACTATGGCAACGGCACCTCTTCAGACGCTAGTTCGGGCCCAGGCGAAAGGGCTAACTATCAAGCTGCGAAGTTCTACGGCCTCGGCCCTTCTCAGATAGATGCTCGGTTGCTTGGCAGGTGAAGTCGGCGGGGCGCTAGGGGCGCAGGCGCGCGCATCCCTCTGTTCTGGATCCATCGAGAAGCACAACAGCCTAGTCTCCAGAATTGGTTAGGGGGGCAAGGGCACCCAGGAGAGACCCTGGTCAGAACCCCCCGAACTCAGGAACGGCGCTCTCGTTCGAGATTTACTTTCAGTCACTGGCCGACAAGGAAGATATTCCCCCCCGAAAGGGGGGTGCGATCGAAAACGAAATGGGCGGGTCGAGGGTTGGGGTATACAGGATGCAAGACGCGCGTGCCAGTAAGAGCGAACAGTCTTGAAATGGGTGTTGTTGTTGATGATGCTGCTGCTGATGATGATGATGATGATGATGCTGATGATGATGATGGTGATGATGCTGATGATGCTGTTGTTGTTGTTGTTGTTGTTGTTGTTGTTGTTGTTGTTGTTGTTGTCATCTTCGTCTTGCAGGGGCCTTCGCGAGGCCCCGGGGCCATCAATAATCTATCGGGATGACAAACCAGCCCTGGGGGAAGGATCTTGCTAGATTTCTGGGGTCCCTGCTGTGAGCAACAAATCACGACGTCGGACATGGGGGGGGTGGGGGTGAGCGGGGCCCGTGGGATCGCGCGAACTGCGCTTGCGGTCGTCAAGCCCCCGTTAGCGGAGGGTACCCCCACAGTGCTTGTCGGAAGGCACGTCGGCGTTTTTCCTGTTTGCGTGGGCGTTTTGTCGCGGGCGTTGCAGACTGTGCGGCAGGAGCGGGGCGCGGCGAACATCGCGCGCGTAGGGCGACATGTTGCCTCGGCTCATTCGCTTCCGCTTTCGTTGTGAGACATGCATACATACATACATGCATGCATGCAAGCAGACACACATACACACATACGTACATACATACACACATGCGTGCTTGCATGCGTACATACACGTACATACATACATTCATACATGCATGTATACACATACATACATGCATCCATACATACAAACATGCATACACACATACTTACAACCATACAAACATACACACATACATACATACATGCATACATACATACATACATACATACATACATACACACACATACACACATACATACATACATACATACATACATACATACATACATACATACATACATACATAACACATATACACCTTCGCACTTGCATACATACACATACTTACAACAACACATGCAACCATGCATACATACGACAATTGACACGTACAACCATACGTACACACAGACATACAAGCATACAAACATACAAACAAACATTTGTGCGCACGTGCATTGTTATATCCTTTTGTTTCTTTCATCATGTTTTGTTCCCCCCTCTCTCTCTGTGCAGACGTTCTGGTCAGGGCTCAGGGCCATCTTGGCCACTCGGCGGCAGGCCTTCGGACCTCCGCGGCGCGCGGGGCGCCACCATCCGCCGCCTGCACAAGGGCGCCGGGCCGCGTCGGCGATGTCGGTGAAGATGGAGGAGATTTGGAGCCGTCTGGGGGTCTGAGGTGGCCCAGCACTGGTTCTGGCCAGAAGGGCGGGCAGGTTGGAGTTCTTTTTTGGTTGTCGCAGCTTTTTTTCGGCTTCAGGGGACCGTTTCGAGCCCAGGGACCTTCAAAAACGGATCCGGGGCGAAAAACTTCACTAGATGAGCCCTGGGAGAGGTCCGGGACCCATTTTGAGCGAATTTGGCTTCATCCTCCCCTCTTGGCCGATGTTCTGGGGTACCAACCATCGGGCGACGAAATCGACGGGCGACGAAATCTATACATATCCACTGCTCCCCGGCGGGGCCCTGCTGGGCCCAGGAGCTGTGTATACGCCTTCCTGGGTAAGCCGGGAGTGCGTGGCGTGTACACCGCTGCCGGGTTCATGTTGGGCCTGGCCGCGGAGCAGTGGACATGTATAGATCTTGTGTAGGGGAACGAAGAATATCATAAACCTAAAAACTCGGATGTCCGCGTGGATTTCTCGGATCGGCGCTGGACCCCCTTCCCTGGCGCGCGGAGCGCGCCAGGGGCGGCGCCGGACCTCAAAGTTTTGGTGTTTATGTCATTGTTCGTTCCCCTATAGATGTGTAGATCTTGTGGCCCTGAAACCAGCTCAGACCACCTGGCCGCCTCCCAAAGAGGAGATCCAGGAGCCCGGGCGGCCGTGGCGGGCCGTGCCGTACATCCCCGGGGGCGGGCAGAGGCGCCCTGTGCATTCGGCCGCCCCTGTCGGGGGCGTCCAGGAGGAGGGTCTCTGAGAGGGCCCTCAGAGGTTTTCAAGAGGCCTCGCAAGAGGGCCCCAGGAAGCCAAAATCATTGATTGTCCTCAGGTGTCTGAAGGATTTGGGCGTTCTCGCCTTGTCGGCTTCCCGATGCCCCCAGGCGGCCCTAGAGAAGCCCCCAAGATCGCCCCAAGACGGCCCAAGAGGCCTCCAAGAGGGCCCCAAACGGCCCAGGAGGGCCCCAGGACGGTCCCAAGAGGCGTCCAGAACGGCCCAAGAGGGTCCCAAGACGGCCCCAGAAGGGGCCGCAAATAGGAACCACGAAGCGAAGATCGGAGCCTTCCGCCCCAAGGGGCCCCCGAGACTGGTGCCCGTGGGAGTCTCCCTCCTTCGACCACTCTCTCGGTCGCCCCCTCGTCCGCGCACGCGCCTGCCCCGGGCCACGCCTTGCGACCCCCCCCCCCTCGTGGACGCCCCCGAGGCCCCCGGCTGGCCCTGGGCCCGCCCCGCAAGTGCGCAGAGGCGGGGGCATTGTGCATCACCACCGCTTCGGGGATCGAGCTTCGGCGAGCCTGTCAGGAGGGGAAAAACACACAGACACAATGAATCGTCCACTCCCAGGAAATTATCCCAGTGCGACCCTACCTAGGAGTTGGAGCCTCTAGGAAAGCAACATTAGTGGATGCTGTGCTGCGCTATGCTATGCTCTGCTGTGCTATGCTATGCTCTGCAATGCTATGCTATGCTATGCTACGCTATGCTGCGCAATGCTATGCTGGGCTAGGCTGGGCTAGGCTAGACTATGCTATGCTATGCTCTGCTATGCTATGCTATGCTATGCTCTGCAATGCTATGCTATGTTATGCTATGCTATGCTATGCTATGCTATGCTATGCTTTTGCTTTGCCTTCGCTTTTGCCTTTGCTTTTGCCTTTGCTTTTGCTTTTGCTTGGCACCCAGGGAGCGCAACTGGGGGAACCGCGCGTTTGCTTTTACCTTTGCTGTTGCTTTTGCTTGGCTCCCAGGGGACCGGGGGAACCGCCCGGGGCGGTTAGCACTGCCCTGCCCCTTTAAGCTACAGAGTAAGAACCCTTCTAGGCAGAGCCTAGGTAGGGAAAAATGGGAAATATGGGAAGTGGGGGGGAAGACAAAACCCCAGAACATGGGGATATATCGGGAATCCTTTTATTTGTGTGTGTGTATTGATTTGTGTGTCCCAGGGCCCCTTCGAGCTTGTCACGAGGTGGGTATGGACATTGACATATTCCCCCCTCCTGCCCGGTCCCGCCCCACCCCCCCAAGGGTCCCAGTAGTCATGTCCACATCCACCGCCGGCCGAGGCCCCCGAAAGCCGATCCCCCCGGCGGTGGTAATGGATAAGCCTCCCCGCCGCTCAGCCAGCTGCACCAGTTCTCGAGTGCCCCTGCCCCGCCGTCGAGCGCATCGCTCCCAGACCTCTGACGTCGTGCTGTTTCATGCCGGGGACCCCTGGAGGTCTCGACCCATCCCCCTGGCTTTTGATCCTGGGTCGTTTCTGAGCGGCCCCTGAGCCCAGCGAGGGCCCCCCCCCCCAGAGGCCGAGGCTTGGCGAAGACCTTCCGTCGTGGTTTTTACTCGTGGACCGGGGGGTCTGGGTCCAGCGGCTGCGCCTCGCCGAGCTCTTCCTGGGGGCCCACATTTTTCCGCCCCGGGCTTGGCACCGCTCGGACGTGTGCACTTTCTCGGCGATGTCATCGAGGAGCAGCTTGGATCGTGGCCGTTGCCCGGGACACGTTGGAGGAGGAGGAGGAGGAGGAGGAGGAGGAGGAGGAGGAGGAGGAGGAGGAGGAGGAGGAGGAGGAGGAGGACCCCAGCGACTCTTCTCCCCCGTCCTGCCACTGGCAGTGGCGGTGCAGCACTGTCCCATCAGAGGGGGAGGAGGAGCAGGGAGGGCAAGAGAGGGGGGCGTGCACTGCTGGCCGTTGCCCGGGACCCGGACCAGGGCCCGCGTGGACGAGGCACGGGGCGGGGGGCGGGGGAGCCTCCGTGGGGCTCCAGGCCCGGCCTGGGCGCGGCGTGGCGAGTGCCGTGGGGGTCCCACGGGAGTCCCCGCGGAGGGCCTCGGTGCTTGGGGCGCCGCGAGCCGGGGCCGTGGGTGCTAGGTCGGGCATATCCCCCTAGAGGGGAACCTTGGACGAAAACTCAAACTGCCCAGGAAATGATAGACAATAGTGAAGGGATGCTATGAGAATCGTCCCCAGAGTATTTTAAAGACTGTTTTTGAGTATTCCTCCTGTGGAGGGACAGGCCCCACTTGACCGCAGCCTCTGCTGGCGCCCGAGCGTCGCCGTGTGGGTCCTGCTCAGTGTCTCCCTGATCTTCATGAACAACGGCATCCTGCAGCACCTCTGGAGGAAGAAACAGCTCTGCACAGGCATCAAACTTTCCTGGGCTCCGTACGGACTGCTTGGATCGGCGCCAGAGGAGGAGGAGGAGGATGAGGAGGAGGAGGAGGGAGGAGGAGGAGGAGGAGGAGGAGGAGGAGGAGGAGGAGGAGGAGCAGGAGCAGGAGCAGGAGGAGGAGGAGGAGGAGGAGGAGGAGGAGGAGGAGGAGAGGAGGAGGGAGGAGGAGGGGAGGAGGGGAGGAGGAGGAGGAGGAGGAGGAGGAGGAGGAGGAGGCCCCCTTCCTGGCGGCGCCTCCAGCGCCGACCCGAGGAGTCTGCGCGGACCTCCGACAGTTCATGTCTGTGCAGCTTTTTCTTGTTCTGGCCTCCCCAACCCGGCCGCGCTGACAGCTGGGGCGACGAGAACTACGCACATCCACTGCTCCCTGGCCAGGCCCGTCCTGCACCCAGCAGCTGTGTCTACGCCCTCCTGGCCAAGCCAGGAGGGCGTGGCGCATGCACCGCTGCCGGGTTCAGGATGGGCGTGGCCAGGGAGCAGTGGATGTGCATAGATCTCGTCGCCCTGACAGCCTGGCACATGGCCGTGAGCTCCGTGCTGGTGAGGGTGGTGCGCGCCTTGGCGCCCGCCCGATGTTCCCTGTTCCGGGCGGGCGGTCCGCGAGTTGACGCGCGCACGCTGCTCGTGAAGTTCGGTCCTATCTCTGACGGGGCCAGGACGAGGATAGATCTGTTCCAGAGCGTTCCAGGACGCTCTCAGAGCGCTCCGGAACGCTCTGAGAAGGCCGCAGCGCCCGAGGCATCCTCCAGAGCTGCCAGATTTCAGAGATTCTCGATTTATTCTCACCCGATTTCATCCTCTTCCTAGCTTCGTCTTGCTATCTCCCTGCTGTTTGCCTTGTCACTTGCCATGGGGAACCGTACTTACATTTCGATGAGCAGAAAACGGCATTACCAACAATTTTCGAAGCTCTGTGCAGATTTGTTGGATCAGCGCTGGGCCTCCCTGGCGGCGCCTCTGGCTCCGCGCGCCAGGGAGGGGGGTCCAGCGCCGACCCAAGAAATCCGCGCGGAGCTCCGACAGTTTGTGCTTATGCCGTTTTTTGTTCCTCAATACATGCATTGCTCCGTCGCTTTCATTCAGATGATGAAGGCCTCGCACTCAGTTATCTTGGGGGTTCGTACAGGGGGGTTGTCCCAAGGTGGGGATATGGATCGAACCCATCTGGATGCTCACATCTCCTTCTTTCAGGGGCCATTCGGAAGGATTTCCCTCTAACCCCACCTTTGCTCTCTACCCCACCTTGACGCCCCCCCAGTCATCACCTACACCATGAGTGTTGCATTTGGTATGGAGGCCTTCGTGTGGTGCAGATTTCAGGCTGTCTGCGCCGTGTGGCTCGGCATCGCGCTCGCGGTGACGGGCGAGATGAAGTTGAGCGTCATCGGATTTGCGTGCCAGTGCCTGTCTTCTCTGGCAGAGTGTGGCAGGGTAGTGCTGATAGAAATGGTGATAAACAGGCAGGGCATGAGGATGGATCCGCTCACGGCCCTGTCGTACTATGCCCCTCTTTGTTTCTGTGTGCTCGTGCCGTTTGCCGCGGCGACCGAGATTCCTGACGACATTTCTGCGTGGTGGCGCAGTTTTGACGAGCACGTTGGATACGTATGGATATTCCTGAATGGTATCGTCGCCTTCAGCTTGAACCTCAGCGTCGTGCTTCTGCTTCAAAAGACGAGCGCGGTGACTTACATTCTCTGTGGGGTTATGAAGGACGTATTGATGATCGTTGGCTCAGTATGTTGGCTGGGAGCTTCCATTTCACTCCAACAGGTCATAGGTTACACACTGGCTCTTGCCAGTGTGCAGGTTTTCAATCAGGTCGGCAAGAACATCAAAGTCTTTGAAGAACGAGGCATCATGGGCGGAATGTGTTATCTTCTCGAGGACGTGATTGGGACATCCAAAGGCTCCGGGCACCAGCATGGCGAATGAGGAAAGTCAAAGCGCATTTGGCGGTTGAGCATGCCTTTGGTTGCATTGCTCCTGCTCTCTTCCCCTCTGCATTCCTTGCGATCCCCGCAGCTTCCCATGCCCGCTCCGCATCCTCACCACATCTGCCCTGTCTTGCTCCCCCTCGTTCTAGTCTTCGTTGTCTCTTTCGCACGGTGTCCCGCTTTCATGTCCAACACTTTACCAGCCTGGGCCGTCCAATATCCGATCTGGTACGCTTCGATGCGCCGGCGCATCGAAGAGGAGGAGGAAGAGCAGGAGGAGGAGGAGGAGGAGGAGGAGGGGGAGGAGGAGGAGGAGGAGAAGCATGGGGAGTAGGAGGAGGAGGAGGAGGAGGAGGAGGAGGAGGAGGAGGAGGAGGAGGAGGAGGTGGAGGAGGAGGAGGAGGAGGAGGATGGGCCCGCGGGTCTGATTCGATTCGATTCGATTCGCTGGCATCGCCTGGGGCTCGGCGATCCGCTTTCGATTCGATTCGGGGCCCTTCGCTGGCGTTCCGAGCCGTTCCCGATCCGACCCGATGGTCCATGTCGTCGGCGAGGCTCCTGGAGGGGTACGTGTCTTGCCCCCCCCCTTGGTTATTCGTCCCGAATGTCGCCGCCGACCTTCGAGATTGTAGCCGGCCCAGGTCTGCCAGCGCAGCAGATCGAGTCCGCGAGCATGCCATCGATCGACCAAAAAACAAACGACACCATCCCACGTGCGGCCCTCCATGTTGCGCTACGGCCCATCGGGGGCCGTATCGCATACCGTGCGATAACCCACGCCAGATGTGTTGGTCAACGCCAATCAGGAGGGAACAAAAACACACAGACACAATGCATCGTCGATTCCCCCGAAAATATAGGACAATATGGGAAGAGGGGGGGAAGACAAGAACCCAGAACATATGAGAAAATATGGAGAATCTGTTTATTTGTGTGTATTTATTTGTGTGTCCTGGGGCCCCTTCAGCCATGTAAAAACCCACGCCAGATTTGTTGGTCAACGCCAAGCCTCCTGGGGCCGTAGGTGGGGTGGTGTTGTTTGTGTTCTGGCTCCGTCGAGGCCTTTCGCCCCTATCGTTAAGTCGGGCCTGTCCCTCTACAGGGGGAATACCCAAAAATAGTGAAAAATAGCAAAACATAGTAACAGAGCATTTTTTGACCGTTTCGGAGTATTCTCTGGGTATTTCTCATTCTTCGCCGAAAACCCCCCTGTAAGGGGGACACGCCTGGCCCTGGCTTCACGCTATCGTCGCCGCCGACCTTCGCGATGCTGTCCGGCCCGCGCCTGCCAGCGCGGCGGCTCGAGTCCGCGAGCACGTCACCGAGGCTGCATCGGCGGGGCCCGCTCCCCAGCAGCAGAGGCCCCCATCCTGCGCGCCTCGTGGGCCGCCGCTGCTGCTGCTGGCTGCCGCCGCTGCCGCTGCTGCTGCTGCTTCCTGCTTCTGTACACCTTAGGCGATGCTTAAGAAAACCCAAGTTTTCGGCCAGAGTCTCGATTATTCTTAATGTTTCAATGTGAACCCTGAGATTTGAATGGAAATGTTGGGTTTGTATTCAAGTTCTGAGGCTATGAATTTCTTAACCCATGATTTCTTAAGCATTTCGCAGGGTGTATGCTCCGCGCCACCTCGAGCCACCTTTTTTCGAGGACGAACAGCAGCATGAGCATAGACCTCCGCGGTGCTTCTGTTGTTGCTCGATTCTCTTCTAGATAAGACAACGGGGACTCCGAACGGTTACATGCTCGTTTTTTGCTGATTGTTGTTCTAATCCTGGGGCCTCCTTGAGCCCACGAGCCCCTTGTGCTGCTGTGCTGGACTCCCCCTCGCATCGTCAGGCCGGCTGGGGCAATCGGGGCCGTTTTGGGACGTCTTGAGCATCACGGAGTCGCGCGACCCCCATACCAATCCAGACCCCCAGTTCAGAGGCCAGCAACATATGTACACGTACGCGGTTAGTTTCCCCTGGAGTGCGTGTCAACGCGGACGTTCGTGCAGGCAAGAACGCGGAGGGCGTACATGTACATATGTCGTTGCTCGCCCACCAGTGGTGGGGAGGTGGGATAAGGGTAGGGGTCTGTGTGCTTCCCATGAAGAGGGTGGAGGGCCTTTCCTCGAAGAGATGATCCGGGAATCTCCCCCCTCGGAGATGCGCTCTCGCTCTCTCTCCCTTCCGCGTGCCCCGCCCGTCCTTGTCTCCATCCCTGCCTCAATCCCCCTTTGCGTTCTTTCCCTTCTCCCTTGCTCGTTTTCTTGCTTGCTGCAGGGATTACCCGTCTCCCACGCTAATTCGGGTGCGCTGGGCCTTTTCGCTTTGCGTTCCAAATAGCTGCATATTTTTCTTGCCTTGGTTTGTGCCAGCGTCTTGCTTTCCCAGAAGCGGAATGTCCAGGACAGTTCGTCGTTCTTGTATAGCTCGTCGCCGGGAGATGGAGCAGGAGCTGGGGTCGCCGCATCTGTCGACCGCTCTCTTCCTCCTCTTCCTGTCCCTCCCGTTCTCATCATCACACTCAGCCAGAGCGGCCTGGGGTCGCCGTCCAACCTAGGGCCGTCCAGTCCAGCCAAGCCATTCTGACGTTTCCACGAAGATCTACCTGGTCCCGACGGATGGTGAGGGTGGAGGAACGAGGGAGAGCCAGAGCAAAGACAGTCTTTTGATCCTCTGGCGCGGGACGGTCGTTACCCGCCCCTCCCCCCCTTGGGGTAACGGCAACGATCGTGCATGCGTTTTGGGGGGGGGGGTCTGCTGGTGCTCGCAGGCGCCCTGCCGGTGCTGCGCAGGTGCCCGCCCCGTCCGGGCGTGCTTTCAGGACGCGACGGCGGCGTCCGGCTCTGCTCCTCGCCCTCGGCATGCCGCTTCGCTGCTGATGCCGGCCGGGGCAGTGGTCGGGAGTGGACGCGGCCCAATCCCGAGGGGCCGTCGGCCGCAGGCCGGGCGAGGAGAGGAGGGCGAGGTTAGTCAACGGCAGTTGGCCTTCGGGGGCGGGCCCTCGGCGGCACAGCTGGACTCAGCTCGGAGCACCGGTGCGTTTCGAGTCGATCGTCCTCCATTCGGTCCGGGCCCCTGGCGGTCGATGCCAGAACTCAGAAGCGGCGGCAGCCGCGCGAGGAGCCTGGGGCTCGGCGAGGGGCCCCCAGAGGACGAATATGGCCCAACCCCCCCGTCGATCGAGTCGACCCTCGAGCCAGAAGCCTGCCCTCGAGTCGATCCTCCTCCGTTCAGTCGGTGCCCCTGGCGGCCAATGCCAGATCCAAAAAGCCGCGGCGGCCGCGCAGGGAGCCGTCGAGAACCGCCTCGAGCCCACAAGCTGCCCTCGAATCGCTGCTCCTCCGTTCAGTCGGGGCTCCTGGCGGCCGATGCCGAAACCAAAAATCTGGGCCTCCCAGGTGGGGTCCGAGCAGATGGGGTCGGAGGAACGTGCAGCACCGCCGATGCATCGTCCATGCGGCGCGATCCTCCGACGCCATCTGCTCGGACCCCACCTGGGAGGCCTCTAAGTCAGTCGGTGTCCCTGGCGGCTCCAGAAAGCCGCGGCGGCCGCGCGAGGAGGAGCCCGGGGCCCTGCGAGGACCCCCGGAGAACGACAAGTGCCAGAAGCCTCGCGTCGGGCGAGTCGAGCCTGGAGCCCGAGCGCCCGAGCCCGGGCGCCCGAGCCCCGGCCAC